ATGAGATTGAATTAATTATATGAACGATAGAAATGTAATGGTTAGTCCGAAAATAAAACATGCCCTTTTAAAAAATATTTCATGTTTTAATCTTACTCCATATTTGCTTTTTCTTTTAAACACCCCGTATTTACTTATTTAGTGCAATTTTCTTTCAAAAAGTCTTGGTGTACACCCTGGGTTACACCCTGGGGTACACCATATATAAGAGGCTATATTTTTTTTACCCCATCCAGCTCCCACACCTTTCACACACACGTGTCTTGAGCTAAAAAAAACCTCTTCCCCTTCTAAAATCGAACGCCTCCTTCCCGCATCCCCAGCCATTCCCGCTCCGCCTTCCTCACTTCGGACAACAACAGCTCCGGCCAATATCCCACTCCTCTGTGTTTCCCTCATCTCTCGAACCCACGACCTACCTCCATCTCTGTCATCGGTCCATTCTCCAAGTATAAGGAACGACGACTGGCCTCCATCTCTATCCTCGGTTTGTCTTCAAATGTTGTGGGAGCTTGCCTCTCCGAAACCCAGAGCGGAAAACATGGTCCGAACCCGCCTCCCCGAAACGGCCGAACGGTATGTACTTCGGAAAAGTCTCGATTTTTTTTGTTTTACCTTTTATATTTGACTTGAATATTGTTTACCGTTTCTTCAATGTCAATTTGTTGTGTTTTGAAATTGGTTGTATACTCTCTCTCTCTTTTAATCAATTGACATGTCTGTGTATATTTGCAGTCAAGTCCAGGTTTTAGTAAAAAACTATTTGAAATCTCAGTGGTTCCTCTAATATAAAATAATCAGTAGGTTTTACAATTTAGGAAAAATGATTAATGAATAATTAGTCAATAATGCAACACAAGGAATGATTATTATATATTGTGTATTATTTATTGGATAAAATTATAGAGATTTGCCCTACTCCCCTTTAATTAAGTCTATGTTGTTGGCATACATTTTTACCCAATTTTTTAAAAAATTCATCCTCTCACTGTACGTTAGTAAAGAATGCCACATAAACAAGATTGAGATATCAGTACTTGTTGTTGCTTGTACATTTGAGTTTCTATATTTAATTATAAGGATGATGAATTTGCTAAGTTTTAGAACCACTATTCATTGTTAAATTTGTTGTAATGCTTGTGCATCTGGTTGAATGAGTCAAACAGCTTAATTGCTTCCGATGTGATTGGTCTGAATAATCTTTGTAAACCTTGGATTAGTGCTTATCTTAAGTATTGCCTGTTTGAACCAACTTTATATCCTAAGACAGAGGGAAGAAAGAGTGAGGCTTTAGAAAATCTAAAGCCCTTAGAAGCATAAGACTGTTACTATAATGCGCAACAGACCAACTCTATCCCTTCTAAAATTAAGATTTCCTGATAAGTGGCTTCCTTTTAGACTCTCAAATAACTCATCCGTCTGGTCATTTGACTTGTGTAGCCCAGAATAAAAGATGGAAAGGGTGAGACATTCTACTGCACTATTTTTTAATTGACTAAGGCAAAGCAATATAGGTGTAGTTCTTCCAATTCTTTTTTATCTAAGCCATAACACATTTTAAGAAAAATGTGTTAGCTTATTTATATTGGAGAAAAATCTATCAGTTTCTCAAAACACAACCCCGTTTATAGCAAATGTCTGTGAGTCTTGGTAGGCCAACCGAAATTTTTTCAGGAAAGCAAGAAAGATGATCCTACGTACGAAAAAGCGAAGAATACGATGTATGGTTTCCCGCATGTGTTACAGGTATGATCCATATAAACACACCTACTTACTATATTTAATAACAAATATTTATCACCCTTTTTCCCATTTGTATAGGTTTGGGCGTACGAGAATATACCGACACTTTCTGTTTGTGAAATTCACAAAGTGTCGGTACGGTGTCTTTAAGTGGCAGAAGGTCCCAGGCATGAAATAAGGTACACTGACACTTTCTGTCTGTGAAATTCACAAAATGTCGGTGTGGTGTCTTTAAGTGGCAGAAGGTCCCAGGCATGAAATAAGGTACACCGACACTTTCTGTCTGTGAAATTCACAAAGTGTCGGTATGGTGTCTGTAAGTGGCAGAAGGTCCCAGGCATGAAATAAGGTATACCGGCACTTTCTGTCTATGAAATTCACAAAGTGTCGTTAAGGTGTCTTTAAGTGCCAAAAGGTCCTACTCATGAAATAAACTACACCGATACTTTTTGTTCGTGCAATACATAATCTATCCGTGACACGTAAAAAGTGAAACTTAGTTAATGAATATTGGAGTGTACCTTTCAACACCATCTTTTCAGGTAACTTCTTCATTATGTGCCAGAGACACCATCGGTGCCTTCTGTTTGGGAAAACGATTTGGATGACATTTTGCATGGCGTAAGCATGTATACGTTACTACTTATTATTAGTGTCAGTGTGCACCAATGCTTCGGTTTATATTGTCTGTGAGTACTGATACGTTACTACATGTGTGAATTATCAGACTGTTGGCGAAGGAACCCACCCACTTGATCAAGGAGCTTCCTATACTGGTTTGAACACCCTTTCTCAAGAGTGTCATACACCCTTTGTCAAGAGTGTCATACGGAGCTTCCTATATTGTCTGAGTACCGATACGAGTAATTAATATGGTTAATATGGTTCTCCGTGACCTTAATATTACAATTGAAATTAAAAGGCTAAAGGGTCAAATAGGTACATGAACTAACTTAAAGTGTTCAATTAGCCCCTTATATAGGAGGTTCTGCCCGGCCGTCGCCAATTGGGGCGTTTCCCGGTGGAATTTTTTGATGAAATTTTTTGAGCATCTTCTTCATTAAGTCTAGTTTATCCATACCAAATTTCAGCTAAAAATTCAACCGGGAAGGCAGTCAAATGATTTTTTGAAGATAACTGCGCAGGTAAACAACGCAGTACATTTTGAAAAATCATTTGACTGCCTTCCCGATTTAATTTTTAGCTGAAATTTGATATGAGTAAACTAGACTTAATGAAGAAGATGCTCCAAAATTTTCATCAAAAAAATCCACCGGGAACCGCCCCAATTGGCGACGGCCGGGCAGAACCTCCTATATAAGGGGCTAATTGAACACTTTAAGTTAGTTCATGTACCTATTTGACCCTTTAGCCGAAATTAAAATATAGACATTGAATGGCTGTTACAACATAGTATGCATGTAGTGGTATTTTAAAAACTCTCCAAACAAAAATACTTGACTTGTTTCCCCTTTTAATAGGGTTCCTTTATTAATCACAAATACAGAACTTACCAGTCAAAAGAAAGGAAATCTGAAATCAATTTTGATGGTTTGAAGCACTCAGCGATCACATCTCAAACAAAGCGCCTACCTTTACAAGATAATGTTTTCTCGGTGAACTAAGGGTTGACGGACCAAGTTATATATTGTTACCAAGTCATGAAACCAATACTAGTTAGCCAAGTAGCTAGACCTAGGAACCAAAATTCATACTCTCGCACATATAAATCAAATACACCTTTCTTTTCCATTACTCACTGCCTAACATATACTTTTGTGCTACGAAGAAATACATTGGCATAAAGATACCTTTCTTCACAAACATCAAACAAAATAGAAACGATAAATTATAGCTTTCCATGACCTCGTCACTCTTGAAAGTTACATACATTTTAAGCACACCCATTTGAATTTTTTTCATACTTAGCATAAAGTATTTTTATCTCCACACCTCTGTCACCACATCCCTCTAAAATAAGTATTGCATCTGCTCTCTATAAACAAAGGGAAAGAAAAAAGATCACTTTCGGGTGGAATACACCTTTAGTAACTTCCAATCGGTAACTTTTAGATATGGCTAGGAGATTAAGGAAATATATATATTCTATCTGTTTGTATTATCTGTTTACAATGACTCATTGACGAAGTCATTACGGTGATAAACTGAAACAAACTTTGAACACTTTATTATTGTCAATGCACTCATTAAAAATAACTCCTCTATAAATTTTTCACTTAGAAAATCTGAATAAGGGTAAATTGAACACTAGTAATTAACTCATTCACAGATACAACATTCATCTTTGTAGGTATGCATCAACTCAATGAGGATTTCTTCAGTTGTCTATACATACCGACACTACTCTGTACACAACGACATTAGTTGTCGGTACACACCGACACTGAGTATGTAAGTTGTCTGTATGTCAAAGAAAATACCTCCAACATCTGTGTTCATGTTCTCCCTGCTATTCTCTTCCCGTCACAGCTGTAATCATCTCGGCCGTCAAATATCGGAACTTCGTTGACGCCTTATGTCACAGGTCTGCCACCCGTCCCACCTAAGTCTTCGTCCCTAGGGTTGTTCGGACCACCATCTATCTTCCTCATTCACAGATCCACCATTTCCGTTCGCAACTCCATCTTCTTCGTTCACAGCTCCCCCATTTTCGACGTTCAGAGCTTCCACGTTTCTTCCATTTCCGTTGTCCGTCATCCGTCGCAGGTAAGGGGTATCTTCCAAACCTCCATCGTTTCCGGTCACTTCTCCATCCACCATCAAATATGCTAGAAAATCATCCATGATATCTGGAAAGAAAAAATAAAAAACAGAGAGAAAAGTGGGAAGAAGAGAACGAACAGAGAGGGATGTGAGAGAGAAAGGAATGTGCGTGAGGAATGGGGATGGGAGAGCTGTGTGAGAAGAGGGGTAAAGAAAGCAGTAAAAAAAGAAGGTTTATATATGGTGTACCCCAGGGTGTAACCCAGGGTGTACACCAAGACTTTTTGATTTTCTTTTCACATAAACACCATTTTCTTAAAAAAGAGGAAAGGGCAAGGACGTCGTTTGGTCTAGTAAGTTTAGTCGTGAGTCATTTCGCTCACCGACACGGCGACACCACCAAAGTGAACTGTGTCCTCTCTTCCCCTCTCAGTGATAGCCCGCTTTTGAACTGAACTGTGTCCGCGGCTGAACACACCTAGGCGCCTGCCTGCCGCTCCTCCGCCACTAGATCGCTGGAAGCGGCGAAGACGCCCCTTGCCTCCTTGCGAACTCGACTCCTAGCGACCTCGCTCCACCCTCAACTCGACTGCCCAACCTAGTCATCTGTCTTCGCCTTATCCTTTGGACAATTGGTCTCCCAGCTGATGAATTGACGAAAGCGGCACGTATTGAGTTACTCCGTACTCGCTTCACACTGCTAAATTTGTATATGCCTTATTGCTATTACCCCTTTGATGGGTTGACCTAAAAATTAGGATTTTTAAAGCCTAGTCTCAAATTTTCATGAATTGCTGTACCATGTGACCATAGTATTAACCTAACTTTCAGTTTTTAAATAAACTTGCGATTCAGTAATAAAGTGAAGCTTAGAATGGTGAACTTTTAAATGAATGGTTAGTCCTACTTTTATGGACTTTCATAAAGTTTTGCCTTTTACGGAGTAGATTGATTTGTTACTCCTATTTATATTATAGGCAAAGTTTAAAATGTTGAAAGGTTTGGCAATTTTGGAAGTAAATATATCCGTAGTCATATTAATTAACTTGATATCATGAATGGTAAGTAGGAAAAAATATAATACAGAGTATTGTTTAAACATGAATAAGAGAGGCTTAAGAAAAGTTGTTTGTCTTGTGCTTCCATTGAAGACCTAAAACTTTCACCCTCTTTGCATTGAGTTATGCATTTTTTTGTAATATATCATTACTTATTTAATAAAAAAACTCTAAATCGTGATATTTATATAATAAATATAGTAAAATAGAATATTCAAGAGTGAAACGGGCGGGAAAAGTGTGCCATGCATGTGCACCAAGAAAAGGTCCTATAAAGGTAATGCAATACTACTTAAGAAAATATGCACGTGAAAATCCAAACGAAAAATAGCACATAATACTTACAGTGGATTATTGGACTTCTTAAAAAAATCCATATAAAATTGTGAAAGTATTTGTGTAGCTTCCCAATAATTAATGTTGGATGTTAGAATTGATTACTTCATTAGTAATTATGATTTACTTGCTGCTTTTAACTTGATAGTGGCGTTTCATATTCCTAGACATCCTACGGGGATCTAAAAATAATATTTTTGAACATAGCTTATTTCTAAAAGAGCCCCTATTTGTAGAGCTGTCCAATAACATGTAATTAACATGTACATATTATAATGTTTTGAGTTGTGAGCTTAGTAGTATTTAATGGCTCGCTTAAGTCATAGTGTTTAATATTGATTATACTCTGTATGTACAACCCGATAGCACTTTCTAAGAACACTATTTTACCCAGAAAGAGATATTACCTTACAGTCTCCAGCTTTTACTTATCTAATTAAGCCGTACTTGAGAAAGTTGATGGTAAAGTCAGAATATGATTTAGATTTGGAGTGCTACAATTGCCATAAGGAATGCTGGAATTGACTTATGTATCATTTCTATTGTGTGGCACAAAAGACAATCATTTCTATAGCATGGAGTAGGTAAGTTTGCGTTGAGACGGTAAATACTTGTGCAAAACTTGTGTACTAGAAGCTACTCCTAGATTACCCATAAAAGCAAGTGTTAGTTTTGATTAGATTACTCTAGACAAACACAATAAGAAGTCTGTTTCTAGATGTTTTATTATATTTTAAATTAGAAGAATATGGTTATTATTACTCCCTCCGACCCATAAAGAAGTTCCCATTTCAGTTTACGATGCTTGATTGACGATAAAGCAATTCGATCCCTGTTCACACTGAGATTATTTTTAGTAAACAAGATTTACATATTCAGAAACTAAATTAAAAATTTTACAAAGCCTGATCTAGAAAAAGTTACATGTAAAAAAACTTATCCATTTCAAAGTGTTTTTAAATGGAGTTCCTCAGTCCCAATTTGTAAGATACATTTACTATTGACTTGGTCAACATAAATCACTCTAAAACTTTTACTTTATATATCAAAAGTTTATGAAATTTGAATTATTTTTTGCAGGATTTGTAGTGGTTTTAATGTAGTTTGTGAATATTTAAATTTTATTTTCTAAAACTAATTTGAGTGTTGTCAGGGATCAATTTTCTTTATTGTCGGTCAAACATCGTAAACCGTAAAGTATCATACAAATTGGGACGGAGGGAGTAATTGAATTAGTCATCTTCCAACTATTTCTGATTAGGAATTATTATCACCCTGAAGTTAAAGATTCAGGGTTTTGACTATTTTGTGTATTTCTTCTGCTTGAAGGTTGAGAAGTCAAAGGGAAGATAAAAGCTCTGAAACAGGAAAACGGAGGTAGGATGAGGAGTAAAGGGGAAAAAGAGGAATCAGCAAGGGATTCCATAAGTATACTGGCAGTGGTTTCAATTTTTACTGTGTTTGTAGTTGGAGTAGTCATTGGGTTAGCTTCGAGCACACACATTGATAAATACATGAACTTTCAAACTCAACAGCCCCACACAAACACTGCCTTCCTTGATTCAGGAAATAATTTTGTTTGTGAGGATTGTTTGAGCATGGAGAGTTTTATCCATCCTAGCACTTTGAATCATGGAATGAAAGATGAGGAGTTGTTCTGGAGGGCATCATTGGTGCCCACAAAGAATGAGTACCCCTTTCAGCGGGTGCCCAAGGTGGCTTTCATGTTCTTGACCAGAGGAGCATTGCCTATGATGCCTTTGTGGGAGAGGTTTTTTTATCGCCAGGACAAGAACAAGTATGGAATTTATGTGCATGCCCCTCCAGGGTATGAGTTCAATGTGGCCAATAACTCTGTTTTCTACAACCGCCAAATCAAGAGTCAGGTAACATTCTGTCATAGATCCTGAGAGATTTATTATAATTGATGTCTTTCATTTGTTCCTATTATGAGACTTATTTAGTAATATTATGTTCGTGTGTAATACCGAGTACTATCTAGTGTCGAATGGTAAAGAGAATACAAATATATGTTCTTTTTGGTTTGGTTTCACAAGAATGTTTAGAGCACTCGCCTAATCACAAGAAATTATTTACTTGCAGCGAAATGGGAGGAAAACTTTTTCTGTTGTTTGGCTTTTGGTTTGGCCATGGAAAGTAAATGGTCGAGTGTGACTATTTTTCTTTTGAAGGATGTAAGTTTCCATTTGCATGGGGGAGAGTGGGAATCAGTTTTGACACAAAGTTGGGAAGTCATCCATTTCTTCTATAGAAAGTACTTTCCATTGAAAGCTCTAAGTACCCCTTAGGAAAGTGTTCGAAAATACTTTACTGAAATGATAAGACCGACCTATATGGTATCAAAACAAGAAAAGTAGTTTTGAACACTAATTCTGATAAAAATTACGAACTCTTTTTATTTAGTTCTATGTATAATTCTCTGCTTGCCATGGACGGAGGATGATGGGGGACATAATATAAACCAGGCTGGAGAATGAGACTCTGTTTGGTAAGCATAAAGCCTGGCTTAATTTTTTATTTTAAAAATTGTTTATATTGTACTTTTAAATGAAATTAAATAAAGTAATAAAAGGCAACTTTGTCATATCCTTTCATTTTACTAAGTCAAATAAGTCAGTGTTTGATGAAATTGTGGGTGCTGGAATGTGGTTTTTTACTTATTATGCCAATATAGTAATCTTTTATTGGCAATTTCTTTTCAGAAAGTTGAGTGGGGATCAGTATCACTGGTTGATGCGGAGAAGCGGCTTCTGGCCAACGCTCTTCTTGACTTTTCAAACGAACGGTTCCTTCTTTTGTCCGAAAGCTGTATCCCACTTCACAGTTTTCCCACTGTCTACAAATACCTCACTGAATCACACCATAGCTTTGTTGAATCATATGATGACCCGTCACGTTACGGTCGTGGCCGCTACAACCGTAGGATGAATCCCAATATCAAGCTCCCAGATTGGAGAAAAGGGTCTCAATGGTTCGAGATGGGCCGTATTTTGGCTATCAAGCTAGTTTCGGAAACAAAATACTACAACCTGTTTAAGAGTTACTGTCATCCTTCTTGCTACCCCGATGAGCATTACATTCCAACTTATCTTCACATGTTCTACGGACCCATGAATGCTAACCGTTCCGTGACTTACGTTGATTGGTCGCTGGGTGGTCCGCACCCGGCAACATATGCTGCTGTCAACATTACTGAAGGCTTCCTGGAGGGTATAAGGTACAATGGCACTTCTTCATGTTCCTACAACTCCGGGAAAACGCAACTGTGTTACTTGTTTGCTAGAAAGTTTGCACCAAGTGCTCTTGGGCCTTTACTAAACATATCTTCCAAAGTGATGGGGTTTTAAAAGTTTTGACTGATATTTTTTCCCTGTTCCTTCGTAATTTGCTTGACCATCATTACAGAGGGGTTTGGCATTTGATTGTATTTAGGCTACTTAGTTTCATTGTTCTTTGTAGGGCAGTGTATAGTTTAGGAGTTGGTCCAATAAATTAGTACCGAAGCATTCATGTATGTACACTAGGTCAACCCTTAAGTGCAAAAAGCTTCTCAAAAGAGAGGCATATGAGATGCTGCAATTTTCACCCACCTAAAGAAAGAAGCAATGCCCCGTTTTCATTTTGTTACTTGTTGGTTGTTCTGCATCCATATCCAGCATGTTGGCAATGATGCAATGTAATCCAATGTAAATGGATTTCTTCTTAACTAGTATAGTACCCGTGCATACGCACGGGATAGAGCGGTTGGTGCATATATTTTTTACTCATGATCTAATTAAATATTAAAATAAAAACAACTTTTTAGGATTCTACATTTTCGAAAAAATAGTAATTCAATCAGCTAATACCTTAAAATATATATTCAATGAAGAGTATATTAGGAAAAATTAATTGACACTACTCATTAGAATTTGCTACTTATTCATTTCCATGATTAGATTAATTTTAAAATTAAATAATAATTCTAAAAAAGTGAGTACAATAAGTGAGTGACGTAAAGTTTAAATGAATACAATAAATATTAAAATCAATAAATATTAGTTAAATAATAACTTTCCATTCATTAGTAAATTCGTGCTAACATATGTGAAAGAAAATTACTCTGCTCAATTCTTAGTTGGCTTATCTTGTTATATCTAAAACAATTACATATGAGAAAAAAATCTTTCACTCAATTGTTAGCCGGATTATCTTACCTTATACCTAAAAGCACTATGTGTGAGAGAAACAAATATGTTCTTTAATTGTTAGCCGACTTATCTAACTACAAAGAACTACATATATGATGATATCCCCCTCAATTGTTAGCAACTTTATCTTCTTATAACTAAAAGCACTATATATGAGAGAGAGAAAATTTTCGCTTAATTATTAGTAAGCAAGCTTATCTTGTCATATCTAAATAGACTACATATGAGAGAGAACATTTTCTCGTTCAATTATTAGTCGACTTATGTTATACCTAAAAGCACTACATATGGAAGGGTAAATTTTCACGCTCAACAGTTAGCTGGATTATCTTATATACGGAGTACTTAAGAACTACCCGTAAGAGTGAAAGTTCTCTCACTCAATTGCTAGCAAGTTTATCTACTTAGCTTCTTATGCCTAAAAATACTACATGTGAGAGAGAAAGTTATCTCGCTCAATTGTTTAGTCTTCTTATCTTATACTTAGAACTACATATGAGGGAGAAAGTTATTCCGCTCAATGGTTAGCAAGCTTATCTTCTACTATGTAATACCTAAAAACACTACATATGAGCAATAAAATTCTCCCGCTTAATTCTACTTCTCAATTGTTAGCAATCTTATCTTCTAATACCTAAAAACAGAAATCATCTGAAACTCTTTCGTAAGTCTATCTCATTCTTTTTACTTTTAAAGGTGATTCGATTCATCGATATTAATAACACCAACAACAACAACCATAACAATAACGACAATAACGACAACAACACCAACAACAACAATAATGATGGTGATGATATGGATGATGGTGGTGGTGGTGGTGGTGGTGATGATACACCCTCAGTCCCATAAAATTCTTCTCGATTTGACTTGGATCGGAGTTTAAGAATGTGGGAATAAATTGAAAACTTGAGGTTGTGGTTGAGTAAAGAAAATGTAAATGATCTTAGCCAATTGCTACTTTGGGAATCATCTGAAACTCTTTTGTAAGTCTATCTTGTTTTCATGTACACAATTGGAAGTCCACATAATAACCAAATTCAAGTATACTTGTATTTTTGAACCACGCCTACATATTACTATTATAAAGACATTATTTCAACATGTTGATTTTTAATGAAATCTGATTCTTTAAGATTCTCTCATTTGCGGATTTTTTATATATTAAACCAGTGCACATCAAATTATAAAATACTTTAAGAAAGTTTTCTTAAATAAATTTTAGTATTTTTAGATTTTTCCTTTCATGGTCTGATTTTAATTTTAGAGACCGTTTAGAAGTACTGAAATTAGTTGAATCTGTTGAAATGGATGAAATTCTGAGAGCAGGGGTTGAATTAGTTGAATCTTCTGGTGTATGGATAAATTTAATTTAGATTACTTTTATTAATTAAATAAATAAAAAAATTATCTGAATTTTAAGCGTAATTATAGATATTGTTAATAAATTATATTTTGATATATTCAAAATTGATCTCATATGTAAGATCACAAATAATTATGAGTTTTGATTTATTTTTTTTTGTAAAAATTGGATTAAAAATGAAAAAGTTATAACACTTTAAAGAAAAACATTATATCAAATGTAGCTAAAAATGATCACTTACAATAACTTCCTCAATTCAGAGAGCAAAATAGATCTAAAAATGTCTATAAATAATTTTAAGCATAATTATAGAGACCATTAATAAATTATATTTTTATATATTCAATATTGATCTCATATGAAAGATCACAAAAATTTATGAATTTTGATATATTTTTTGTAAAAATCGGATTACAAATGAAAAAATTATAACACTTTAAAGAAAATTGGAGTTTTTTATAGCTTCGGCCCCACCAATTGTATCTCTTACGGCTGCTCCATTTCTATTTCCATTGGAGAAGTTGGGTAATTTGAAGTAAAAGGCCACGTGGCATTGCTATAGCAAAGGAGAGAATTAAGGAGAGCTAGACACCTAAGATTCATTAAGGGTGAAAATGTATTTTAATGAGCCTATTCTTTTCTTATATATAAATAGATTTGTTAGTGTTTCTTTTACCGTTGAGTGACTTTAGTCTACCTAACTACTAGCTCCGTCCCACTAACATTGGGACATTAGGAGGTGATATGGTCTATCTATTTATATATAAGAAAAGATATAGCTCATAAAAATACAATTTTACCCCTAATGAATCCTAGGTATCTAGTTCTCCTTAATTCACTCATCATTTGCTATAGCAATGACCGAGGCATTTTTACTTCAAATACCAAACTATCCTATTGAAGGGAAGGGAGCAGCCGCAGGAGATGCAGTTGGTGGGGCCCAAGTTATAAAAAACCCCAATTTTCTTTATAACTTTTTCATTTTTGTTCCAATTTTTTCAAAAAATATATTAAAATTCATAATTTTTTGTGATCTTTCATATGAAATCAATATTGAATATATAAAATATAATTTATTAACGGTCTCTATAATTATGATTAAAAATATCTATATACTTTTTCTGATCTATTTTGATGTCTGGATTGGGAAAGTTACTGTAGGCGATCATTTTTAGCTACTTTTTATAATGATTTTCTTTATTTCATTAATAAAAGTATTTCAAGTTAAATTTATCCATAAACCAATAGATTCAACTAATTCAAACACTTCTCTAAGAAATTCATCCATTTTAACACATTTAACCAATTCCGGTACTATTAAATGGTCTCTAAAATCAATATCAGACCATGAAAGGAAAAATCTAAAAATATTTAATAAAACTTTCTTAAAGTATTTTATGATTTGATGACACTGGTTTGATGCATAATAATCGCAAATGAAAATCTAATTAGTTCTAAAAAAAACTTAGAGTTTGTCTATTTGATTTTGTTTTGAGTTGTTCTAAATTCAAGACGATGAGTAATTTGAATTTATCAACCCTAATAAAAATCAAATGTTATTTTCAATTTTTTATTTTGCTCCCTTTATTAAACTATGACAAGCCTTATTCCTTCCTGTTATAATGTCACTCGAGAATAAAAAATTAGCAAATAAAAATAATAATTAAATGAGTGCTAATAAAATAAAGCTTCAAAATTTAGTTCAATTTATTATTCTTTATTTTTAAGAAAACTGGGGAAAATATGAAAATTTAGATTTATCATTTTTGGTTTGTTTTAAACTGAAGTTACTTTACAGAATCCATTTTTACTCCTTTTCAAATAATTTTTTATTTACTTCATTAATATAATATAATTTAAATTTCCACAAATCAAAAGAATCAATTTCTACCAATTCAGCTACTTCTATCAAAATTTCATCAATTTCAAAAGGATCGGGCACTTTAGTCAATTTCAGTGTTAATAAACTGGCTCTAAATATCAAAATTAGAACATGAAAGTAACAATAGATCAATGGCTAATAAAAAGGGACTTTTTGAAAAAAGGGCTTTTTAACAGTAAAAAAATGAGAATCTAAAAAAAAATTAATTAAAAATCAACATGTTGAAATAATAACTTTATGATAGTAACATGTAAGTGATTCAAAACTATAAATACATTTGAGTTACTGGTGTGGACTTGCAATTGTGTACATACAAACGAGACAGACTTATGAGCATCCTCTATTGATCAAATATTATTCCTGAAAAGATCTCTATAATGTACATAGTGATAGAGAGAGTACCACATACTGCCTTGACTTCAAATGATTTTTTAATCATGTTCAGAGTATCATAGTTTTGGGTGAGAGTGAATCAAAGTTGATTTACCAATAAATGACAAAGTGATATGGTTCTTACATAATTGAGGGGGGGTTTTAGGTGTAAGATAATTTGGCTAACAATTGAGTGAGAGGGAATTCTCTATCTCATATGTAATGTGTTGAGGAAATAGAGTTTAAAAAATAATGTCAAACTTGCTAAATAAAAAGTCACATATACATTAAATGCATTACCTTCTTTAAAACAATATTTTTAGAGGTCGACATGTCATTTTTCAAAACAATTTCTATACTGCAAAAAAAGATCATATATGTTTTTATGTATAAAATAAGCCGACTAACAATTGAGCGAGAGATTTTCTCTCTCACAAGCAGTGCTTTTAGGTATAAGATAATCAAACAAACAATTCAACAGAAGAATTTTATCTCTCATATGTAGTTTTTTATGCATAAGATTCTAGGTATTAGAAGATAAACTTTCTAAAACAATTGGGCGGGAAAATTTCTCTCACATTTAATGCTTTTAGGTATTACAAAAGTCGGCTCATATTTGAGGGGAAGAATTTTCTCTCTCATATGTAGTGGTTTTAAGTATTATTACGGGAGATTTCCCAAAATAGAAGTAAACAGAGTTTAAAATTTCAAAATAGAATTGCTATGTTTTTCTTCCGGAAATAAGACTAAGATGACAATATTTAGTGTCATTTTTTAGTCATGACTGTCAAATAGTTGCAGTACTATGCATTCAACATAACAATATTTATTATAATCAATGGAAGTTCCTATGCGTAAGTGCTTAACAATTGAGCGAAATAACTTTCTATCTCATAGGAAGATAAGCCGGCTAACAGTGGAGCGGGGGAATTTTTTTCTCTCATAAGTACTGCTTTTAGATATAAGAAGAATTTTCTTTCTCATATATTGTGCTTTTATTTATTAGAAGATAAACATGTTTACAATTGAGCGAAGGATTCTCTCATATATGTAGTGTTTTAGGTACTACATATAAGATAAGCCAGCTGACTAGCAATTGAGCGGAAGAATTATGTCTCAAATTTAGTTCTTTTAGGTATAAGATAAATCAGCTAACACTAGCAAAATAAATTTTTCTTTCATATGTTAGCACTAATTTAACCAATGAGTATCAAGTTTTTATTTAAGTAATATCCTTAATTTTAATATTTATTGTATTCACTTAATGTCACTTTTTTTTAGAATAGTATTTAATTTTAAAATTAACTTAATCATGAAAATTAATAAGTAGCAAATTATAATGAGTGGTGTCAAATAATTTTCCCTAATATACTCTACATCAAATATTATTGTATGGGCTTATACTTTATGATATTAGCTCATTGCACTCTTGGTTTTCGAAAATGTAGAATTCTAAAAAGTTTTTTTTAATATTTAATTTGATCATGAGCAAAAATATATCCATCAACTGCTCCTTCATGTGCGTATGCACAGGTACTATACTAGTTATTAAGTAAAGTGAATTAGTGTGGTTGATTTTAAATTGATAAAGAATAAAAATGTAGTGCTTAGAACCATACAAACTTTATCAAATTCAGTATGTGGCAATCTTAGTGGGATGGAGCGACAAACAAAGATCAGATGATATTAGAGGGACGGATGAAGTATTATTTTAAATATAATATAATCATCTATTTGTCCAACCCAATTTATTATTCAATTTCGATTTATTCAATTTGGAGATATTATACCAAACTAAAATCATTTGTGTTTCGGTTTGATTAGGAAGTGGTTTGGTTTTAGTTTGGTTTCAAGTCCTCGTTCGTTACTATGAAAATGATTTGATTCAATTTAGTTAGATTTGATTCCATTTCATATAATTATTCTTTTATTTAATCACCTTCTTGTATTTATTATTTAAATAAAATGTGAAGGGAAATAAAAGATATAAAAGAAATACAGAGTAATAAAATATTACTCGTATAAATTAACACATGATGTATTTTATCAAGACTGATAACATAAATGTTCTGGGGTACCCCGAACAAGTATTACTCCCACGGAGTAATAAATGTCTTGAGGACTACACTACGTGGCGTATCCAGTTTGAATCCTTTCTGGTCTCTCAAAATCTTCTGGGAATGGTTGATGGTTCTGTTCAGGTACCCTCTGTTTGTTCCATAGATCTGTCCAATCGTCAAATTCCCAATCCCGAGTACTCCTCATGGTTGCGTATTGATCAAACTATTCGTTCCTGGCTATTTGCAACTTTGTCTCGTGATGTGCTTATTGATGTTCGTGATTTGAAACACTCTTTTGGGATTTGGGAACGGTTGGAATCCAGATTTATGTCTGCCAGTTTAGCCAGGTCTATGGAATTAAAACATATGTTGAACACTATTAGGAAAAAGCCTGAACAATCTATGGACAACTATTTACGGGAAATAAAAAATTTGGTGGATGATCTTGCTTGTATTGATTGTCCCGTCTCTCAACTTGATATGCTTAAGGCTACTATTATCGGTTTGGGGAAGGATTATGCCTCCATGATCAACACTATTACTTTATTCCCTCAACATTTTCCCTTTGAAACACTACGCAACCATCTCATCGAGATAGAGCAATGGGACAAATATTTCCACCAACAAGAAGCTTCCATCACTCATCACTCGTTTGCAGCCCAGAATCAGTCAGCAGCGTCCTTCCACCAACCAATTCTTCTTCAAGCTTCCAGTAGTGTGCCACTATTATACGTAGTACTATTTTGTATTAGAAGAATATGGTTGATATTATATTCTTACGTTTATAAAAACTTAAAAAGCCTTGAACGCACGTTTCTAGCGTTATTCTAAATTATACTTGAACAAAGTGCAAACGGCATGATATTAAACTTCGATTGAGTTATTCTGAATTATAGATTGCCGCAACTATTGAACACTGTTATTCGACTTATCAGTCAATTTTTTCACCAAATACGTAACTTTTGATTTCGTGCGCTGAAATGTGTAATAATAAGAAAAAGTAAGACTGCAGTTACTTTTCTGACTGTTTCGGCTGAAGTTACTGCAGAGCACCATCTTAGCTATTTTTACATAAATTTAATTTTTATCTAAAACATCATAATCAGCTAATACAGACACTTAAGCCAGAACTTCATAATTTTCAGCAGAATCAGCCGATTTAAGTGTTACCAAACGGGCTTTAAATATATCCATATATTGTTTTGTAATTCGATTGAGCAGTTGTATATAGTTAGTTATATCCATGAGTTCTTCATATACATTTATGAACACCAATGTATAGTTATCACGTTTAGGATGTTTTTACTTGGACTGTAATTTGCCCCAGACCAGACCAGACCAGACCAGTTCAGACCAGACCAGACCAGACCAGACTTGGATAGTTATAAAAATACAAAGAAACCAGACCTTACCAAACCAGACCAGACCAGACCAGATCAGACCTGACCAGCAAATTACAGTCCAAGTACTTGCACGTACTTAAGAAGTCTTTAGGAATAAATCACTCTAAATGTTAACCCATTTAAATATCTCCAATAAATATCTAAACAAAGTGGTTTATATACTGCAATATGATTATTATTATTTTCTTAATTTTTTTAGTGTAAACTATATCATTTTACTATTCAATCTACCACATTATTGTTTGAAGTCTACATAACCATCTATCTTTCCACAAAATGATACTTGTACATGTCACCATACACGCTCGTTTACACACCAAGTTTATTTTGTCTGTATACAGACAATTAATTTTTATTTTGGTAAAAGAAACTCTCTGTAACCCCAAAAAAGTTAATTATTTATGCATATGTATTAATTTTTCCTTAATGTTTTTGCTAAAGATGAAGTGGGCTTGGCCTTCCATGCATATATAATAGTCAAGGTCTTGTGGCTTTTCAACATGTAAGCTCAATACATACTAGTACAAAGCCGGCCCAGAGCAAGGCTGCCCAGTCCAACCGCACAGGGCCCGAAATTATGGAAGGCCCAAAAGAAATTAGTATTACAACCTAACCCAACATCAGGCGCCCAACTTCAACCCAATTAACCTGCTGCCCAAAATCCCCAAGCCTCTAGAGTGAAGCCGTGAAGGATAGGAGGATGAAGGACTGAGCGTTGACCTTTGCGGCTCCGCCACCAAGCGCCAGCGCCAGCGCCAGCCGCCACGCCACCACTGCGAGTCCGCGACCCGCCTGTTCCGGTCAGTCCACTGATTTTCAGTTTTTCGGATTCATTCAGTTTTGAATCATTGTAATTTGTTTATTTTCTGTTTTTCTGATTTCATGTTTGTTGAATTGTTGTTATTTGTTGATTTTTCGCAGTTAAAGTAAACCATTATTTGAGTTGATAATAAATGTTGTTTTGGCAGAAGATTTTTATGCTAGTGATTTTGTTTTAAAAAACTGTTCTTAACCATAACCTTCATTTGATCATTGTTATAGAGCATGATGGACTCGCAAACCCAGAATACTTCTTTGCAGAGGCTTCAAAATGTTGAAAAGGTCACACATGCAAATACAATTGTAGCGAATAAGCTATAGGAATAGTTATATGTGTATATGTATGTGTTATATGTGTAAGGTTAATTTTGACGCTTAACATGTGTATGGCTATTGCTACAGAGGATAGTTAGGGTTTTAGAGCTAGCTGGAGGGGTTATGGATGAATTGGCAAAGCCAAGTGGCCCTAGGAAGGAACTCATTAACAACCAATGCAGTGAGTTCATGCAACTAATAAAGGTCTAAACCCTATTCAACATGGATATGAAGAATTGTTTGAACAAAGTTGTGGAATATCTTTACTTTATGTTGCATATAAATTGTATTAGAATGCGGTACTTGATAGCAGTGCATCAAAAGCATCTTTATATGCTCCTTGGTGAAATTGTATCCCGCCTTGCAAGTTGAGCAAACAGATGACATTTTGTTTTTTCGAAAAACAATTCAGGATATCCAGGTGACACTAAGAGAAGAAATCAAAAGTGCTTGCGAATATCGTCCATTTGAGAAGTGTGACTATGTTCCAAGAATAGCTAATGAGATCTGTTGCAAGAAACTGGAATGTGTCATCGCACAACTAGATGAGATGAAGCAGACTGTTGAAAATTATAACGGTTTAACGTGAAGCTATATCTTCTTATTGTAATAGAAATTGTAATAGGCAACCTACAATACATTTAGTCAGTAAAACTTCTGTTTCTAGCTGCTGAACCATGTAGATTGTGCTGTTTTAGCACCAAAGCAAGTTATATCTATCTACCTTTATTGAAGTTTATATATCATGTAGGGATTGTTGGGATTGAATATTTTCATTGATGCGTATACAATCAAGTTATATCTCGTCATTGGAATTTGGAGGCATCATTAAAAACCTGGGCTTTACGAAATAGTTCTCCTTCAGTGATGAGTAGATAAAATATTACTTCATTCTAGAAAGGTTGGAGTTGATTGTTGAGGTAGACATGGTATCCTGATCTTAGCATGTTAACATTTACATATTGTGTTAACCATTAACCATTATCATGATAGAGATATGTGACAAAGATATTGATAGAGGCAGTCATGCAGGATGATGATATGCAAATAATATTGCCTAGAAACTTCACATGTCACTTTCCTGTCCCATGAATAAAATGTTGATTAAATAGTTAAAATTTGAATAAAGGTTTAAGTCCAGGATGGCTTTATTAATATCAATATTACACAAAATAAGATGTTGACAATGGGCATGAATGGGAAAATGGGAAATAAACCAATCCCCCTTTACTATGGAGTTAGTATAGAAGCTTAAAGAATAGGTTCTTTCGTTATGTCCACTAAGCACCAATTTTTAATTTCAATATTTATACCCGTTTCAAATAAAAAAAAAAGTATTACTCCGTTCTTAACACGCAGTCAATACATAAATTTAATATGAATAGAAAACAGGAAAGTTGAAAAAAATTGAGTACTCTGAAATAAAGACTAATTATCTGGGAATATAATACGCAGTAAATGCTTTATTGGTAGACAGTTAATTAGCAGATTACAGATAAAACAATATACTAATACTACTAAATCAAGTCTTTCAACAAGCAGTCGTTGTAGTATAGTGGTAAGTATTCCCGCCTGTCACGCGGGTGACCCGGGTTCGATCCCCGGCAACGGCGTTTTTTTCTTTGTTGTTTCGACCAATATTATGGTTCTTTTACCAAAGACGAGAATGCAGTACCAATAGCGGGGATAGCTCAGTTGGGAGAGCGTCAGACTGAAGATCTGAAGGTCGCGTGTTCGATCCACGCTCACCGCATTATTTTTTCTATTGCTTTTTTGCATTACTTTTTTTTGTATTGCTTTTTCCTCGTTACAAATATTAAATGTTTAAGTTAGTTATTCGCTCTATTGCATGAAATGCTAAAGTAACTTCAACAAATATATTTTTATTCACTAATGCCATCATTTAAGTTAAGGCATGCTCAAAGGATGGGATAAAATCCTTATATGCAATTAAAACATTTGGGAAAAGAAACTTACTTAGGTGAATAAGGGATTAAGACAAAATAAATTTAACTCTTCTCCTTTTCTTAGGTGAATAAGGGATTAAGACAAAATAAATTTAACTCTTCTCCTTTACTTACGTGAATAAGGGATTAAGTAAATTTTACTTGGATTAATATGAACTGACATATTGGAAATTGACATTCATAATTTCATTCACGTCAGATTCAACTATTAAAATCAAATAGAATTAAAAAAAAAAAGTGAAAAACATATGCACAAGAATATGATTAATGAATGTGAATTTGTGACACTAAACTTGTAAGTAGCTATCGACTAAATTAAGAACCAAAAATATTGGAAAGACCCTTAAAACAACTATAAGAAAAAAATCTAACCCACCAGGAAGAAGCCCATGCATTAAAATGTCACATGTACTTATGGAGGGTTTTCATTAGAGCCAACAGAGCATATGGGATCCGATAACTTTCATTTTATGATATTAGGCCCCGAGAAATTATGTTTCCTATCTAGAGTGTATTTTCCATTCCTTCTTGCTTCCATTCTTATTGACAGTGGCGGAGCCGCACTATGAGTTGTGGTGTCAATTGACACCACTCAACTTTTTCTTCTTCATATATAGGTATATATAATTTTTCAAAAAATTAAAATTGACACCACTGAAAAAAATAGAAATTGTTTAATGTAAGACTAAAACATACACAAAGTAAAACAAATAGGAATTATTGTGTTTTATTCTCCAAATAGGGCTTATTTAGTTCTATCAAAAGAATGACAAGATTAAAACTTCCAAAATAGGAGCGAATGAGTCCTATTTTGGAAATAAAACATTCATATTCCTATTTATAAATTTTATCTATATTTTAGTCATATTTAGAAATTTTTCTAAAAAAACTATATACGGAGTATAAATATATAAATGGAGGTCAGTGTATATATTTTAAAAGCTGGAACAATAACATAAAAATAATTGTAAAGTGTACAGTTTTAAGTATTACTACTGCCTCTATCCCAATTTATGTGTCTTGTTTTGGTTTGACACAATTGTAATAAAGTGATCGACAAACTAATAATGTTAATCAAGTTTGAGACCATTAATTAATAATAAAATGAAATGTTGTAGACCACATATTTCTTTTTAAAAGAAGAAACATGACACCTATTTTGCGATAATCCAAAAAAAAAAGTTAAGACATGTGAAATGAGACAAGTGATACTCTATTAGGAATATTACTATATTAGACAAGATGTTATAGTCTTCTTTCTTTAAAGTTTGAATCAATTGATCGACACTTGATAGAAAAATGTACTCTCTCCATCCTATTGGATTTCGCCAACTGGCCCAACTGTCACCTACTTTGCACTTGGCAAAGTCTACCGGGATGGAGGTAGTATACCGCTTTTAAAATATGAAAATGTGACGTACACAATTTTGAATTAGCATTATTTCAATATTATAAATGACAATTTTTGTTATTTTCATTTATAATATTTACACATTTTGGTATAATAATTATTTTCTCAATTGACACTACTGACCCTAGATCCTGACTCCGCCATTACTTATTGATCATTTTCATCTTCATCTTTGAAAGAACTCGTTGTGGGCCTTATAACATTTTTCTCTTAACTTATTATTATCATTATTAATATATTATTACTACTATTATTTAACAGTTACTATTATAATTGTTGCAATTATTATTGTTGTTTATTTATAAAGTTTGGTCATATCATCATCGTAAAAAAACTAAAAATAGTCCACCACCATTCGATAATGAATATTAGTTTCAACATAAGAAAATTTGGACGAAATATAACACAAAAAATGCAGATGAATGGTAAAAGGATAATAGTATTAGTTCCAAGATAAGAAGTTTAGAGAATTAGAGATAAGGATAATAGTATTAGTTCCAATTCAGAAAGCTAATAATGAAAATACTCAACAATATTGGATGCTGGTTTAGTAGAACATCATATGAATAATGATAGATTTGAATGGAATTGAAGAACTAGGGAGAAGCTTAATTAGTAGACAATGATAAATGGGTGGAAATTTACTACAGTTTTACTGTTAATATTCTCAACAATAGTACTACCTCGATCATACCACTATCCTCTTTTTCTACAGCAATAGGATTTCTTAATAAGATTAAGGCCCTTCAGTTTCTCTAGTATTGGACTATCCATGAGGGGTTTCTCCAAACTGTTAAAATCACTTGGGATGAATCTCTTATTCCATACTTCACTTTAGAAGTTTCTTTTTCTGTGGTTGAAAATGGTTTGAAGACCTGGTGCAACTTTGGAAACATATGTTGGAGTTTGTGTTGCTTTCTTGTTTGTCACTTTGTTGTGTGTGATTTTAGCTTCTTTTTTCAAATAACAACTACTTTAGACCTCATTCACAAACTCTACTATATATATATAATTAATCTCAAGAGCATTTGTTCATATTCCTTGTTCAATAATTTCTGGAGTTCTGAGTGCTCCTAGAATCTCTCTTTATGATTCCTGCCTACACATACAAGGCTACAACCCATTTTCACTCTAATTCACAATTGAATAACATACCAATTTCAAGTCTTAATCCAAATGAAAGGGATTCAAAATTGCAAAATGAGTCATTGAGAGGCTAAATATGAATTGAGAAAGTATAAGTCACTCCCAAGTTTTTTAATCGATCATTAAAACACACTACGGAAAATTCTCGAAGGAGGTGACAACTCCGGTACCCATTTAAAAAATGGGGTACCATACCTATCATTCACTTGATTAGTCCCTATATCATTTTTAATTTAGATTTAAATAATTCAACTACAATATTCTCATTGGTCCTTGTGGACAAAGGTATGGTACCTTATGGGTACCATAGAATCTACCTAAGAAGAAATGTAATATTTCAAAATAGTACGTGCCGCGCCATTCCCCTAAAAAAGAGTACAATATTTTCATTCTGAAAAATTATTGTTGTATTTTAACGACATCAAATTTTAAATATGGCTCATATTTACTCAAAAATTGTTATATCTGAAAAATGATAGTACTCATTTTGGAATTTCAAAATGTTTTTACTTCTGCCAAGTGTAATTTCTTAATACATCCTTGGGCTTTCCTGCCTCGGGCTTGTCTAATTACAGAATTCTATAGTTAAATAACAATCACTCTCTTCTAGAAATTGATTGGTGATAAAAAGGTAGACATGCTCTATTTAAAACATTATCCTATAGTAACCAAATCAAAGTGGATTCTTGTAGGTATCACCCAGGCAGTGCAGATCCTTACTACTGAGCGGTAGATAGACATGTGAATCAGAACTAATCAAATGACTATGCCCCGAATCAAAGAGTGGTATTGATCCCCTATAAAATCATCAATCAACCACACCACCGTAAGATTCACTTGCGACCTTTTTATGACACCACTTGTAGGATCGATTTGCTTGTTTTTACAAGCTTCCCAATGGGTCACCCATTCTTGGGTTTTCTTGCCTCCGAGCTTGCTTAACTACATAGTTCTATGATTAAATAGCAATCATATCATTCTTAAACCAATTGGTGATAAAGAGGTGTACACACTCCATTTAACACATTACTCGGTAGTAATCGGGTCAAGGTAGATTTCTATGGGGCACTCTCACAGTTCACTACGGCATTGCAGAGCCCCACTACTGTGTTGTGTATGAACATGGGAGGTTTCACCACATCGTAGTGCCCGCAGGTCGAGCCTAATCAAAAGATTAGGCCTCGAATCAAAGGTGGTGTTAATCACTGAAAACATGTGCGTGCAAATAGTTCTACAACTTTTCAAGAAATCCTCATCTACTAGTTGTCCACCTCTTAGAATGTTTTTAATTGGATTGAAATTTGCTAGTCTGGTCTGGTCTAAATTGGTTTGGTCTAGTTTGATAAATATATGGTCTCTGTGTATTTTAAAATTATGGAAGTCTGGTCTGGTTTGTTTAAATCTGATCTGATCTATTTAAATCCGGTCTAGTATGTTTAAGTCTGATCTGGTTTGGGACTAAAAACAGACCAAAGTGAAAACATCCTTAATCGACACATAGATATGGTCGGTTCAAGCAACAAATTCTCCTCTTCCGACTGCTCTTCATCTTGGTCAGCACAAAGACGATGGAATGGGTAAAGGCCGTAAAGCCAATTTGCGAAATATGATATTCATCAGAAATTATTAATTTAAAAGGGATATAGATTATAGATTTATAGTGTAGCGATATCCCCAAGTACAAATGAGCAGAGGAAGGGACTAATGAGCGCATTAAACATTTATTTTAATGCAAGGGGTTTAATGCACCAAACCCCCTATGATATGAAAATTCGGCGCATTAGCCCCTTATGATTTAAAAAATGCACCAAATCCCTTTGTGCTTTAATTAATTATGCACAAAATTCCCTCTATGAACAAATCCAATTGTCAAATAAAAGAAAAATGATTAACATTTATGTATGATTTAGAGATTTTGACATATTTATTTGCATATTCAATCAAAATATTAGGAAAAGTGATTTCCAAATCATTAAATTTATTCATAAAAGGGAATTTGTGCATGATTAATTAAAACAAAAGAAAGTTTGACGCATTTTTCAAATCACAGGGGGCTAATGCGCTGAATTTCTATATCACGAGAGGGTTTGATGCATTAAACCCTAATGCAAGAGACAAATATGTAGTGTATTGAACTTAATATGTGAAGCTTTAGTGTTACACCATGTCACATTGTCACCAACACATTTTAGTGACTCAAAAGGTCCTAAACCTCATTCCCTTTTATAAGATTTTATTAAAGACAGGGGGATTTGAAAAGGAGTATTCACAAACATGCGTTTCCTTTTTCGCTAACTCATATTTTTGTTGCTTTTACCTTTTTAGCACAGTTTCAGCAAATCTTAATCAATTCTTATTTTATCTTTCTCATTAAATGTTTTAATTAATTACTCCTGAACATTAACATAGAAGGATCAACACTTCCCAGAAAGTAAAATCAGTAACCATAGCAATATAAACAAAAAAGGATTCAAGGGTACCATAAAACTTAAAAGTCTTGCTGCACAAAAGCCTCAATTATGGGGGGGGGGGGGGGGGGGGGGCTACTAACAAACATTCAAAGGGAAAAGGGCTGATGATCAACACCTTGGGAAAAGCCAGCATAACAGCATCCTTCAATGGAGTTGCATCTTCCTCACTCTGCCCTTCCTTCCAAACCTTTAACTGTCACGCCTCCTTTCCAGTTCCTCCCGGTCCTCGCTCCCAACCACCTCTGCCTTTTCATCTGTAATCATATCATCCTTGTGAATTGCTTCGTTTACCTGTGTGACAATATTCATGTGCTGATCATTCTCTTCCCCATCACAAACTTGGGGCTTCTCATCACCAGGTTTAATGACATCAGCCATTGCACACATGTGAGGTTTTATGGTTTCCAGATTGACATCATCGTCTGTCTGCTGGTTTGGCTTTTCATTTCCATGTGAAGGAAGCAGATGATCCATGGAAGGGAGATCATTTATGTGTTTTTTGAGCTCCTTTTTGTGTTGGCAAGGATTTAATTTGTTTAGTTCTTGATTTGCAGGTATCTGGAGAGGCTGCTCAGTTCTGTTATGCTCCTTTTCTTCAGAAGTCATGAATACGGGCAGTCCTTTCAAAACAATATCTCAGTAAATGAAAAAAAAATCTGCTGTAAAATCAAAGCATTACTAGAGGAAAGAGCAGAATTACCAGAACTATGCAAACATATGTCTGCATAGTCTAAACCATATAGGTATGAACTATACCAGAACTAAGGGTCAGTTTGGATGGAGGGGTTTGGAAAGCTGTCTAAATCTTAACATATTTAAATAGATTTTATTAAAAAAATTGATGACTAACAGTAATAGGTAATTATGACATTTCAGTCATACTTCACTCATATTTTAGAAACATCTTATTTATCAAGATCATGATACAGACTTCACTCTCCAAAGTCATCCCCTGCAATACCTTCCAAAACCCTCCATCCAAGCTGATCTATATATGACAAGAAATTGTCTTTTTGCATCAAATACAACATGGTAAATGCTGCAAGATACAAATAGGAACAACTTGAAACAAAAACGGAGGTCAATAATCTGAGATGGATACATTTCTGTATTGAAACTGGACAAGAGTCAGCATCTAGAATTTTGGATAGCAAAAGCAATTCAAATTGCAATATCAAAAAATATCAAAGTGTACTACCTGTTGTAACCACTGAAGGTGTTAATTTTTGTGATGGTGCTACTTTTTTGCCAATGTTAGTTTCCTCATATTCCTCAGATGGACTGTCAAGATCTCCTGAATCTGGAATAACCACAGGGAGTATTTCTAATAGCCGAGACACTTCTTTCGGATTTTCCAGCTTCTGCTTCCTTTCCAAGTACTCATATAATGTAAAAGCAACCGTTAAGGTGAACTCTGCTTCTTATTGATAAGTTATGAGTACAGCACAAATGATATATATACAAGAGTGCGTGTGTGTGTAGCAAAACAGTTAAGTGAGTCAAAATTAAAGACATTTTATAAAGGATATTCGCGTCTCCATCCTTTCTCATTCGCTAAATTGATGAGGTTCTGCAGTCTATTAATCTCCCTGGGAAGCCACTGATATTTACAAAAGGAAACCACATGAGAAATTTATTTGGTTAGCACAATCCCATGAATGAAAGCTGAAAAATGGTGCGCTTGTGCAGTTAAAAGTTTATGCACTTATTAGAATATAAACCTAAGAGAACACCTGTTTGACCATAAACTACCATTAATGCTAAATTGCTAATCAATAAATACAAGAGATTGGACCCGTACATGCTTGGTTATATCCTTGTGAAGACTGCTTGCTTTCTCTTGTAGTTCAACCTGTATTTTTTTATGTTATTAAATGACAGTTAGTCCCGTTCTAAACAATAGTACTAGTATATGAGTGACATAAAAAGAAAACTGTAAAACAACTAGATACTAACCAAAACAGGTTTGCTTATCAGCCCAGCTTTCACCTTATTTAGTAACTCTCCACATTCCTCCTACATATATGTTCAAGTGCCAAAGCACATGTTCAAAAACCAAAAACATAAACAAGGGTTCACATAACAGGTTTATAACAGGAAACAGGAAATGGTAATCCCATATTTACAAGAGATTTATCACTATATTTTAATACTATTGGTATTAGCTTAATTTTATAAGAGATTCATATAATGTTACAGTAAATCAGTAAATCTTAATCTACTTGTGATGCAAAATAAAACGTGTTGTTTATAGAAAAAAGACATACATTAAGGGTATGTTTGCATCCCTGAAAATGCTAGGGAAACCGAAAAAATGCTAGGGAGTGTTATTTCCTTGTTCAGTTATACCTTGGAAAGTGCAAAGGAAGTGATATATATCATTAATGTTCTTGAAATTTTTACATATGTAAAGAATTCTTAGCCTTTTAAATTTAAATAACAGGAAGCGATAAATAAATGATGAGGTTAAACAACATCAACTAAGCCTTATTCCCAAAAGATTTTAGGATCAGCTAACATTAATCAATCCATAATATCAGAGCCAAAAAAAAGAAGAAAGATAAGAAGAATAAAAAGATAAAGTAAGATAAAAAGGATAAAATAAAGATAAATATAAGATAAAAATTACATAAGAAAGATAAAATAAAAATAAAAAGATAAAAGAGCATAAGAAGGATAAAAAATAAAAACAACATAATAACATAGAAAGATAAAGAAAATGATAGATAAAAGAAAAAGGGAGAGAAAGAGACAAAAGAGATCAATCGTCCACACAAATATGTGCCCTCCACTTTCTTCTCTTCAAAGCCATACTCTCATCCAACCTAAGGAGAAGCATGTCAGTTCTGATTCCTATAATCCAAGTCTGTTTGGGTCTTCCTCTCCCTCTTCTCCCCACCAATTCTCCCCACCTCTCAAGTCGTCTAACATGTGCATTAGTCGATCTTCTGTGAACATGATCAAACCACCGCAATCGAGACTCTTGCATCTTAACTTCTATAGGTGCTACTTGCACCTTTTGCCTGATTATCTCATTCTTCAAGCGGTCTTTTCTGGGTTAAATGATGAGGTAAAACAAATACAAAAAATAAATTCACCAAGTTTGAATCGCCACATAAATTCACCAAGTTTTGATGGTTCAAGGATTAAACCATCAACACTTCTGCAATTAAACCTTTCAACTCAGACACCCTCTTCTTTTAGCAATACGATAGTAGGTGCAAACACATTTTAAGCGGTTGTGAAGCTTAGATATAGTCAATAGAACAAATTCACAACAAAATCAAGCGGTAAAATAAACAAGAAACCATGTTACCTCAGAAAAATCAGCATCCGAGAGCATGCTTAAGCAAATATCATTCGGCATATTTGAAACAGAAAGCATAATGTCACTTTTTTCTTCACCAAGGGAAGCACTTCTGATGCCTAAGGAAACTCATGATGGGATTTAGACAGAATATAAGCTGTACAAATATTTGATCATAATGATTACATAGCAAGTGGTAATCAAAGCTAACCTGTAACTTGCTCAAGTTGATACAGGTTCCGACGGTGAAAACCATTTGGGTTCGACTTGAACCGAACAAAGCACCCTATCACCTTTTCTTCAAATGCATCAGGTTGTTTGCATAACTCATGCACCAAGCTCTTCTTCAAGTAAACAAGTTTAATGTTTTCTGGGATTATGGCAGCATATTTACTCTGAAGTATACTGGCTACTAACCCTTCCTTCTTGAGAGCATCATCGTTGTCTGACTGATTCTCCGTTTCCAGGTCACTGGTCGGCGTGTTTTTCTCATCACCATCTACATTGAAAATATCACCATCCTCCGACTCCTCTTCGTTCAGAGCAAAATGACATTCAATGAGCTTAGGTATTCTGTTTTTGTTGATCTCCTTCTTCTGTAATAAGGATTGCAGTTTATAGTCACAAATGACCTTCCTTTTCTTAGTAGGATGAGTGAGCTTGTTTTCTTTTACATATCGAAGGATAACCCTTTCCACATCATCAGGTTTCCTCTCTTGTTTAGTTTCCTCACCAATTGATTTAAGAAAACATATGAGAGCGTCAGAACCCCAACCACTAAATACCATTTTTTTGGGTTTCTTCTTTTTCCTAGAACTGGCTTTCTGCGATTCTGGTTTCTTCTTTTTTTGTCCAGACTTCTTCCCTCCCCATTCATATGGGTGTTCATCATCATCATCATCATCATCAGAAAGGATGCATTGATCCTTTCCATCTTCACCTACATCAGCAGGTTCATCAGCGTCAGATGATGATAGATCACTTTTGTCCAGGTCTAGTCGGATTTTAGCTGCACGGAGAGTATCTAAACCAAGTCCTTCACTTTCCCTGATAATCTCATAATACTCTCTAAACAGGCCCTCATAGGTTTCCCGATCCTTTAAGTCTACACTTTCCTGAGAAGCAACACAAAAATATTAAACCCCACACAACAATAAAGCCTTAATTTCAATTCAATGGGCTCAGCTACATAGACTGCTTTCTTAAATAAGCATTACAAGTGCTTTTTACTGTTAGCAGCACTATCTTCATTGCAAATACAAAATCCCAAACACACTCTATAGCTAATCTCATATTTTCATTTTGTCAAATTCCTTGTATAGTAGGTATACATACATATCAACATACATAAATATTCAGATATCACTGGTAGATATAGATTACGTGTTCTTCTATTTACTTGAAATTCCATCGCAAACTGAGATGCACAAGTATTGATCTACTAATACTTTGTTTCTTAACAAACAGTGAAGCACCCCTGGCATGACATAACAAGCATGCATCTTAGTAGACTAAAAGCTTTACTTTTAGTAATTTCATAGTGTTTATAAATATAGCTTCTTCAGAAAGATCTAATCATCTAATATAACAATAGACCTTCATTCTAGCCACTTCAACAATTCCTAAATCCCAACGTACATAGATAATTTGATTAAAAGATTTTATTTTCCAGCCCAGATTCAATTAACATGCAGTTGGAGGTGCGGGTGGTAAAACGGCTTGTATACTGGATAGACAAATGCCAACACATACAATTTATGTCCTTGATCGCCTTCATGAAATGTTGCACAAACATGGACCACGAGAAACAGGAAATGGAGTAAAGTCATTAAGTGAAAAAAAACAGTTGTGAGAAAGGTTTCAAGGATACATCCCAAGAGTTTCAGTGAGTCATATATCCTAGGAGACCAAAAAAACTGTATTGGTGAGTGAACAGAAAATGTGATATGGCCATATTGTTTATTGTCGTTGTTTTTTAATTAGCTTCTTTTATTTATATTAGTATTAGTTTAGTACTTTATTATTACTATTAGACTATTAGTAGTAGTGTTATATTAGCATATGCATTCTATTTTAGTTGGTCTTCATAGTAGTGTATTAGGTGTAGTCCTTTAGGGTTACTCAAAGATGGGTTTACCAGACTCTTTGACTATTATAAGAGGTGCTCTATTCATTAATAGCATAATCTATGATTTGGGACGTAGGATATTATTATACAACACTTGATTTTTGTAATGAGTTGCAGTCTACAACTAGCACTGTTCATGCTGCTCATATAAAGAATTTATAAGTACTTTATTGTTTATAAATTGCTGAACTGTCATGTTAAAGAGAGTGCTCTTCTCCATATATCAAATTTGTCCAAGCAATACTCATTACAAAAAACAAGTGTTCCTAGCAGTTAATGTAAAAAACACCATACTTCATAATATTTTTTAAGTGATAAGAAGTACAAATAAAAAGAATCTAAGAGCATACCCCTTCAGAATCTACATCCTTATTTTCCTCTACAAGTATTGCTAGCTTTAGACAATTATTGCAGAATCCACGCTTATCCTTAACCCGGACAAATTTTGCATGCTTAAAACACTTGCGACATACTGCATTTGGACAGCAATAACAATGGAGGATTGAAGATCTACCACAAATCAAACAGAAGTGCCAATCTGGGAAAGAAAAGACATTAGTACGGTATAAAAAGAAATACAAATAGAAAAATCTCCTAAAAAGTTAAAGTTTGAATACACACATGAATGCACATTTATGAGATCAAAGTTAAGAACACTTATTACTAAACAAATGTAATCCAAATATAATTCAATTTAAGCTTAAAATAGTAGAATATTAGCAGTACAAACGCAGAATGAATTCATAAGATTGTATATGCCCACAAGTTCATTAATTCTCATTGATAGGAAATTAGGAACTTGATTTATAAAGTTATGGAACAGTATCTGCTGTATCTTAATTTATACAGAGTACTAAAGATTGTATTGATCACTACTCCCCTTCTATCACACACAGTCAAACATACTCTCATTTATATAAAACTGATGAAGTGTTCACATGTCTACAGAACTGATGAAGTTTTACCAAGTAAAATGAAGGAAAAAGAAATATCATGGATCAAAATAAAATGTACATCCAAGATGAAATATTAATTCAGTGCCAAAAGAGATAAAATTAGTAGCTTACCACACATCCAGCGTTGGTTACTTGTCAATGCTGAATATTCTTTCCCTACACACTCTGGATGGTAGGCTTTTACACACTGCCTGTAAGTATAAAAACACACACTGAAGAGTCAAGCCTCAATATAATGATATTCAATTTAATAGGTGGAAACTTTTATAACCTGTAATAGATGGAGAGCATATATACCAACACTCCCACATTACAATGGAAGCATCCTAAGGTTTCCCAACACCTCTATAAATGGCTTAAGTGATACTGAATGACTAGGATAATTCATTGTACATTAAATTTAAGAAAACGAAAGAGGTATAGAAATCTCTAGATTACAAATATACAACCAAGATCTGGGTGCAAAAAAAGATATGTCTGTTAGTAGATTCCTTCATGCGTGATCAGACTTCAAGAGGCATCTCAAGTTTTCATGCTCTGAAACTTTTCTAATGAGTGAACAGCCTGAAAATGTCAATTCATACACCAATAGAGTGTGGCTCCTTGTCTGGTCAGTCCACAAGCAGACAAGTACAACCATGCATGTCTCAAAAGAGCCCTTTTTTTTAATCTAGAACCTGAGAGTTGGCTCTCTCAGGAATGAAGTCCACAGTGGCAGAGTATAGAGTATTATTATCAGGGGGGGTCCATTGATTGACCTTGAAAAGATAGACCACTTCTTAAAATAAAACATCAAGTCTTTTTGCAAAATAGTAACAGTAATGCTGGCTTTGACACATTAGAAAAATTACTGCCATGGAAAGATATAAAAACAAGGGAGGGAAGGAAGAAAATTGGGGAATAGGCATACCTGTTGTCACAAAGAAGCAGCTCACCGCCATCCTTGCACGTAAAGCACCAGTCTTCGGCGACCAGTTCTTTCTCCGGACTCTTCTTACTCTCCTTTCTCCTCCTCTTCGGCATATCTCTGTAAGGGAGATCAAATTCGGAGCACAGGAATTGAACAATGCTAGTGAATATCTTCAAAAATAAAATTCAGGACCCATTCTTTTGCGGAAAACAGGTCTCTATATGCGGCAAAAAGAACGTCATTCGTTAAACACTTTAAATTTTCAAGAAAATTAGACTCAAATTTCAATGGGGGTGGTTTTATTGCAAGCAGAACTTACAAGAAAACCCAGACGAAGAATGCAGCACCTGTTAGCAGTAATAATGATAAAGCAGTCAGCTTTTGGCGATAGCAACGATTTTTAAGGCTAGAGCGGGACAGAAGAGTTGAAGACGAGAAACGGAAAGGGCCCCTTATATACTGAAACTCTCGCATCCTTTATTTGGTTCACGCTTTCTTTACCATACTCTGTCAACCCTGGCCCACGTCTAAACGTAAAACTAGCAAGATTTAGGGTGGCCGGCGACGGATTGGATCCTCTACCCGAGTAGGAGGGTGCCTTGCGCATCAGACGGGAGGGGAGCGGCAACACGGCCTCGAGATCGGCGAAAAAGTGGAGCCCAAGATCTCTAACGTTGAATTGTCCATCGGACGACCGAGAGGAAGCAAGGCACTCTACCTTACTCTAAAGTAAGGTAGAGGCTCCGGATCCTCCGGCGACCGCCCAGACTTGTCAAATTTATCTGTTACACTACGAGAATCTCTAATGCTAAAACGTTAACGGTGCATATGTGGCATGAGAGTTAGTCAATCAAAAAATAATAAATAAAATATCTCTCTCCTTATTTGAAGGATTTTATATCATTTTGGTAAGTTTGCCTTCACAATGTCAAGCACAATGTCTAGATGTAGGCATTATGATTGACATTGCAGGGAAAAAATTACCAAAAACACATAAGACTATGGAAAGATGGAGAGAGACATGTCATAAAATCAATCTTTTATGTCTATCTCTCTCATGGCACATGTGCACCGTGCACATTGTAGCATTGGCGATGCTCTAATTATTACTACTACACTATAATCCTACCAATTTCCACTAGATTCTTTACCCGTGTGTTGCACGGGATGCATATGTTATATGTTTAACCATGTCATTAGATGACAGTCAAAATCTAATGAATAGTTTCACTAACTCGGATTTACATATGTTAAAAATTTGGAATGAATTTTTCAGAGCACAAAGTTGGATAAAGTTGGGATCACTTCGTAATAATAAAAATACTTTTCATTAGATATATAAATATTTTGTTACGTATTTGTGTTTATAAAATATACTACCTCCGTCCCGCTAACATTGGGACATGAGGAGGTGACACGGTTATTAAGAAAAGTGAGTTTATGTGATTGATATTGAATTGATAAAGTAAGAATGATTTAGAGCCACACAAACTTTGGTATGAGACAATCTCAGGGGGACTCTCTGAAAAGGAAAAATGAGACAATCTTAGCGGGACGGATGGAGTAATAACAAAGTATTCATGCAATTGAGGATGCTAAAAAAGTTACTGATCAATCTTTTGTAAACATCCAATAAGAAAAAACATTAATTGATAGTATAACTTTAAAAATCAAAATTTTCACATTATAATTACTAATTGTAACTATTAATTTACACATTATTGTTTAGAGAAAATGAGTATGAAATCATTAAATATGGAAACACAAGCTACACCTTGTTATTTTATATTATTATAGAAGACTATTGTTATTAATAATATAACTATTACTGTACTGCAAGACAATAACAATGATGTTTTTAATTAGACTAAAGTTTTATGATCAGGTCCGCTTAAGTTTGGTCTGATGACCTAAACTGATCTGGTCTGGTAAGTGTCGGATGTATGTATATTTTACTAACTTATTCTAATCTGATCAATTCTATTGTTTTTAAATTTGATCTGATTTGGTGTACTTTCTTTTAATCTGGTGTGGTCTAGCTTATAATTGAAAACATTTAAATCAAAATATTGTAAACATTCTGATTTTTTTCTTTGCGTTAAGTGAAGTCCCGCCAATTATGTACCACTATTATTATATTATAATAAAAATAATTATTATTATCTGTGATCATCATCATTATAGATTATTTTGAATTGAAAATATTCCAATTACTCCAATATTCATGTAACTCTTATTTTTAATGGGTATGAAGCATTAAATGTCTAATTATTGGAGGGAAATGCAAGGTGCCACACCTTGTTACTTTATATTATTATAGACTTTATATTATTATAGATGTCACGAATTACCAATGAACGTTTGCTTAAAAATGGATCAATGAAAGTTTGTTTAAAAATGGGTTAACATTGACTGTCATTGTTAAACCTTCAACGCACAATAGTCACAACATCATGGACAGGTTTATATGTTTCAAGAATGTTTAATACATTTTTACCCCTCTTTTGGACAGCAATTTTGCTCCCTAAACTTGTAGCAGAATGTGCTACTTTTAATAATATAAAGATTAAAACATCTCCAATGTTATAATGTGCACGGTGCACATGTGGCATGAGTGATAGCCACATAAATATTAGCATATAAATTATCTCTCTCCTTATTTGAATGATTTTATACAATTTTGGTAAGTTTTCCCTGCAATGTCAACAATAATGTCAACATCTAGACGTTCTCCTTGACATGTAGAGAAAAACTTACCAAAATTGTATGAAATCATTCAAATAAGGAGATAAAGAATTTATTTTCTAATATTTAAGTGGTCATTTCTCTTGTCACGTGTGCACCGTGCACATTTTACCATTAATGTAATATATATTGACATTGTCCTTCTTTTCCATATTTGAATATTGAAATTCTTACTATAAATTCACAGTGTATTAAATATTTCATGTGACTCGTATTAAATGAATGTTACATTAATTCTTTTCATGCGGAGTTACTTATTCTTGATGTCACTAACTCTTGCCATATGAAGTATTAAATCATTTATCAGTGCAACACTTTCTAAATTGGATCAAAGACCGTTTGTTTAAAAAAATGGGTTAACATTGACTGTCATTATTAAACCTTCAACGCACAACAGTCATAATATCATGGGCAGGATTATAGGTTTCAAGAAAGTTTAATACATTTTTACCCCCATTTTAAGGCGGCAATTTTGCCTCCTAAACTTGTAGCAGACTTTGCTACTTTATAAAATTATATAACATAAGTGTAACATATATTGACACTGTCCTTCTTTTCCATATTTGAATATTGAAATTCTTAATATAAATTCACAGTGTATTAAATATTTCACGTGACTCGTATTAAATGAATGTTACATTAATTCTTTTCATAAGGAGTTACTTATTCCTGCCGTCACTAATTCTTGTCATATGAAGTATCAAATCATTAATTAGTGCAACGCTTTCTAAATTGGATCGATGAACGTTTGTTTAATTTTTGACATTAATGAACTATCAAAACATAATTAGTGCAACACTTTCTAAATTGGATAATTGAACGTTTGTTTAAAAATGAATTAACATTGACTATCATTATTAAACCTTTAACGCACAACAGTCACAACGTCATGGGCAGGATTATATGTTTCAAGAATGTTTAATACGTTTTTACCTCTCTTTGGGGCGGCAATTTTGCCCCTAAACTTGTACCAGACTTTGCTACTTTATATAAAATGAAGATTAGTGTAATATGTAATGACATTGTCCTTCTTTTCCATATTTGAATATTGAAATTCTTAATATAAATTCACAGTGTATTAAATATTTCACGTGACTCGTATTAAATGAATGTTACATTAATTCTTTTCACACGAAGTTCCTTATTCTTGCCGTCACTAATTATTGCCATGTGAACTATGAAGTATTAAAGCATTAATTAGTGCAACACTTTCTTAATTGGATCAATGAACCGTTGTTTAAAAATGTGTTAACATTGATTGTCATTATTAAACTTTCAACGCACAACAGTCACAACATCATGGGCAGGATTATATGTTTCAAGAATGCTTAATACATTTTTACCCCCCTCTTTGGGCGGCAATTTTGCCTCCTAAACTTTTAGCAGACTTTGCTACTTTATATAATATAAAGATTAGTGTAATATATATTTACATTGTCCTTTTCCATATTTGAATATTGAAATTCTTAATATAAATTCACAGTGTATTAAATATTTCACGTGACTCATATTAGATGAATGTTACATTAATTCTTTCAATATGGAATTATTTATTCTTGCCGTCACTAATTCTTGTCATATGATGTATTAAATCATTAATTAGTGCAACACATTATAAATTGGATCAATGAACGTTCGTATAAAAATGGGTTAACATTGACTGTCATTATTAAACCTTCAACGCACAACAGTCACAACATCATGAACAGGATTATATGTTTCAAGAATGTTTAATACATTTTTACCTCTCTTTTGGGCGGCAATTTTGCCCCTAAACTTGAAGCAGACTTTGCTACTTTATTATATAATATAAAGATACAGATAAAGATTAGTGTAATATATATTGACATTGTCATTCTTTTCCATATTTGAATATTGAAATTCTTACAATAAATTCAACGTGTATTAAATATTTCATGTGACTAGTATTAAATGAATGTTACATTAATTCTTTTCGTACGGAGTTGCTTATTGTTTTCGTCACTAATTCTAAATTCTTGCCATATGTAGCATTAAATCACTAATCAGTGCAACACTTTCTAAATTGGATCGATGAACGTTTGTTTAAAAATGGGTTAACATTTACTGTCATTATTAAACCTTCAACGCACAACAATCACAACATCATGGGCATGATGATATGTTTCAAGAATGTTTAATTCATTTTAACCCCCCTTTTTTGGCGGCAATTTTGCCTTCTAACCTTGTACCAGACTCTCCTACTTTGTATAATATAAAGATTAGTGTAATATATATTCACATTGTTCTTCTTTTCTATATTTGAATATTGAAACCTGAAAAAAAAAAGAATATTGAAATTCTTACTATAAATTCACAGAGTAATAAATATTTCACGCACTGTTCTAAAAGTCGCTCTAGGCGCCCGACTAGTCCCCGCCTAGGCGCTAGGCGGTGGTCGGGCGCCACGATTTTTGTCTAGGCGCTCCGACTAATTGGTTTGGCGCCTAGGTGAATTAGTCGGCCGCCTATGGCGCCTAGTTGCCCGCCCAAAGCGCCTAATCTCCGCCTAGGGCGTCTAGATTCATCAAACAATTTTTTATTTTTTATTTTCTTTTTGTAAGAGATATACGTACCTTTAACTTTAATCATGAATATGAAGACGGATACTTGTAACGTAATATAAAAACTATATATGTTTGTATATATACTTAAACTTTATTATTATTTAATATTTATAACATAATGTAGTTAAGTGATTAGTTATCATATATTATTTAATGTGACAATTCAATCATTCATGCATGTTAATGTGTGTATATATTTTTCATAGATACACAAACATGATACTACCATTTTATTATATATTACTTATCATATTTATGCAAAAATATTAATAAAAATACAATTTATGTGCCTCCGATTAGTCCCCGCCTCGGCGACCGCCTAGCCGCCTAGGCTAGACGCTGGGCTGGCGCCCGACTGGCGCCTAGCGCCTTTTAGAACCTTGATTTTCACGTGACTCATATTAAATGAATGATACATTAATTCTTTTCATACATAGTTACTTATTCTTGCCATCACTACCTTTTGCAAAATGAAGTATCAAATCATTAATTAGTACAACACTTTCTAAATTGGATCAATGAACAGTTGTTTAAAAATGGGTTAACATTAACTGTCATTATTAAACCTTCAACGCACAACAATCACAACATCATGGGCAGTATTATATGTTTCAAGAATATTTAATGCATTTTTACCCCCATTTTAGGGCGGCAATTTTGCCTCCTAAACTTGTAGCTGACTTTGCTACTTTATAAAATTATATAAAATAAGTGTAATATATATTGACATTGTCCTTCTTTTCCATATTTGAATATTGAAATTCTTAATATAAATTCACAGTGTATTAAATATTTCACGTGACTCGTATTAAATGAATGTTACATTAATTCTTTTCATATGGAGTTACTCATTCTTGCTGTCACTAATTTTTTCATTTATCTTGCCGAGTCATCAAGTCTAGAGGACCGTCTCTTCTCACACTTTCATCTTCACGGTGTCTACCAGTTTTTTCGCCAACTCAGCAAAACTGAATTGAAGACTACCTGCTTTGGAGGATGTAATACACACATAATGTCTAATTTAATGTCTAATTTGATGAGTTGGCATATTTTTTCTAGACTAGACAGCTCTACGTTGGAGATGCTCTAATATACACCCCGATAGAAGACCCTCTGCCATTGAGCATAGCAAAAATATCAGAACAAAAAACACAATCAGAAACCAATACACCGAACACAGTAGGACTAAAGGCACACAACGCAAATCAAAAGACGAAGATGCAAGAGAGCAGACGTAACAAAAGATAGCAAGTTCATAATATGTACCAAACTACAGAAAAGGGGAGCGACTCCCAGATTCTAGTCATTCAAACAAAAGAAATAGGATCAGGACGCAAAAACGATCCAAATAGTTTCCCATGAACAATGGCAATGCCATAATAACCCTGCAAGTGAAAGCAATACACCAACAGAAAGAACTCAAACCGTCTTCCCACCCTTCCAGCTCCAAGAACACATTTGGGCATTCATAAGCTTAGCCCCTGTAGTAATGACATCAGGGTCGGCAGGTCTGTTCTCAATGTAATAATAAGCATCGTAAGAAGTAGCGACTGACAACGGAACAGCCAGAATAGCACGTGCCATTTTGGACACATTCGAGTACTTCGGACTACCTTCAGATTTCCACCAATTCAACACACTGAACCTCCCGCCGCGTAGTAAGACAGGCTCCTCTAGATATATATCCAATTCAGACTTTCCAGGCAAGTCTACACCATTCAATGCACCTTCAGAATAATCTGCCACATATATGGTACGAACAGCCTCCAAGACAAGTCCAGGTTGTAGTATGCCATCAATGCCTTCGAACTTTGCTGAAATCTCATTTATAAACTGCATTTTATAGCGTGGGTCCATCACCGAAGCAATGGCCAAGACCAGATAATTTTTTCTTATGTACTTAGTGAGCTTCTTAAGCATTTTGTTTGCAACCCGGCGAGTGAAAGCATCTGGACTACTTGCTTCGAGAAGTAAACTTGCACGAAGCTCCTGGAGATTGTAAAGAAATAAGTTGGCAGTTGAGTTTTTAACCTGAAACACTTTTTTTGCCACGCCATAGACGTGCCCAACCAGTCTACAGATGACCCGAACTTTCTCCCACTCTTCAGCAGATGGTACGGAATAATGTTTAGTGACAAATTCTGAATTGAACTCTCCAAGTGCTTCCATTTCCAGAGCACTTTCAAGTTTGGAATGCGTCAAGTGCCACATACATTCTGATCTAGACCAGTGCAGTTCTTTAACTTTAGAGATGATATCAGATATTGCTTTGAATGCACCTTCAGCCATTAAACCAAACATTTCTGCAACACAACTGACATGGAAAAGTTGCCGCTCAGATGGAAGCCTATTCTTCTCCTTGAGTTGAGATTCGATAGACTCGAGAGTTTCGTCAACTAAATCAGTATCACGTGATGTGAGAGTGTAAGCCTTATCTGTTAGGTTATAGTCATCCAATGCTTTCACAATCACTGCATCAACATAATCACTGTTCCGGGGGTCATATAGCTGAAAATGGAGAAGCCATTTCTTCAATTTCCAATCATTGTCAATGAAGTTTGCTGCCAAACTCACATAATCGGTGGTATTTCCCCAATGCTGGTAATGAGACAACATGTCAACAGAGAGAGGAATTAGTCGGCCCATGCTGTTCAAAAGGCATTTCACTTCAGATTTTCCTTCTTCAAAAAACCTCAAGTAATGCTTTGCGATTGATCGAGTAGAGAAAAGACCAGCAATAAGATCCTGCATTTCTCCTATATCAATATCATCATCCATATCTTCCATATCATCAATGGCATCACAATCACTTTTTCCATCATGGACGCCATCACAGCTGTCTTCATCTTCCATATCTTCACTACCATCTTCATCTCCCTCTGGTTCAGAATGCATAGTGTCTTCATCTGCAATAGGATCCGCTTCATTGGTCTCATTTCGTCCACCCTCGGAATGAAAGGAACCATTCTCTATATTGAGAGGGACAATGAGTAGCAATATGAAAGCTCACATTTGTTTTCAAAACAAACGAAGGGAGTATAATAAGATAATTTTGTCACCATCACTCCATGTTAAATAAACAATACTAGGCAATTAGCATGGCCAAAACATCAATAGAATCAGAGAATATACATAAAAGACGACATAAAACATGAACTAACGTTGGCACCTTATATTGTAAAAAAAAAAAAACTTAAAGTAAATCTGGAGTACTTATATTGGGGAACTTTCATACGAGAACCTATTATACAATGTATACACCAATAACACCACACTTTGAACTGTTAAACTCAAACGACCATTTTTTCCATGTCAGCTTGCAATAATAAGGTGCCCTTTGGTAATTATTCCAATATAATTACAAAAATGCAGTCTTTTAGATTTTAGAAAAGCGAAAAATGTGAGGTGAGTTGAAAACTGAGGCAAGATATGTTGGATCTGAAATCTTTTGTAACTTCTTTTTTCGATCTTTCATGAAGATAAACTAATAAAAATCCTCAATTTCTAGACTAAGTAACTCCGGGTAAGCCACACTATACAGATAATTGCATCTTAAACTCATTATTCTTTCAGAAATTCTATGGTACACTCATAGCAGAGAACCTGTCCAAATAGACTAATTTAAATATTGCAATTGAATAATGACTCGGACTAAAATCCTAATTCAGAAAGCTTCCTTTCTGAAAAACACAAATAACACGTATAGTATTATTATAATTATAATTATCATTATTACTAGTATTATTACTATTAATCCCAAAAAAAAGTCAATAAAATCATATACTCGTGTACTGCTATAGCAGCAAGTGGTATCCAAAAGACTGAAACGACAAAATGACTCTGGAAGTAAAATCTGTGAGTAAAAATTGAAAAAGGTAATTAAAAGTGAAGGAAGAAAATGGGGAATGACTTACCATTGAGATTCTGGCCGTCATAAGCAACAGCTGGAGTACGGGCATCCTGGTCGGTAGGATCTGCCTCGCGTGAGGCTGTCATATTTTCTAGGGTTTCTTACTTTTAACTGGTCTTTTTCTCTTCTGGCGTTGATTGCTCCGCTAATCATGGTAAATGGCAAATAAATAGGGCGGCAATGATGAGGATTGGATCAAGACCGCCAAAAGAAGATGTAGGTAGCAATAAAGCCCGGGAAAAGGTGTTCATCTCGACACTACTCGTGGGATTCAATTCAATTTTTTTTTTCAATCTCACAACATTCATAAACGCGTTTTCGGACCGGACTCACGTCAGGTTTATTCTAAAAAGTATGCCCATTTGTAGTGGGCGGGCCCGGCCCGGTACTATGGACCTCCTCATATGTCCAAGCCCGCCCAAAAGAGCGGGCCAAGTTGCTCATCGGGCTGTTGGGCCCGAAAAAATATCGATTTTTTATGCGAGAAAAAAAGGTACACAAACAGTGGTAGAAAAATTATCCTTCTAAATTCGTTTAAAAAATTGTAAACTTATGTAAAATAACACAACATTTTAAACGCAATAAATGTACTCTCGACATAAAAATATTTTTTTGATGAAGTACACAAACGATTCCAAAAAAAACATTCAAATACTAAACTAACATCAATAATTAAGCACATATATAATTGATTAAGGATGTTTTTACTTGGACTGTAATTTGATGGTCTTGCCTGATATGGTCTGGTCTGGTCTGAACTGGTCTGGTAAGGTCTGGTTTCTTTATATTTTTATAACTATCCAAGTCTGGTCTGGTCTGAACTGGTCTGAATTGGTTTGGTCTGGTCTGGTCTGGACTGGTCTGGTCTGAGGCAAATTAAAGTCCAAGTAAAAACATCCTAAGTCGATCTAATAGCAGTGGCCTATAGGTTGGGCGGTTGGCTAATAGTTCATGTTGGTCTTATTATAATTTTTGTATATATAATATTGTTTATGTATATAATTAGCCAATTTTTGTATATTTCAACTTAATTATAATGGTAATCATCGATCATTCATAAACCAATTAAAAAGATAGGACCATAAATTCATAATAAATTTAACTAGTTACTATACATATTTGTCTATGAAAATAATTTAAAGCTTATTAAATATTCAAGTATAACTAAAATTAAGACAATTAAATTAAAATGTCACACTTCATTGTGTAAGAGTCTTTGTTTACAAAAAATATTAAAGAAAGAAAGTTTGATGTATTTCAAAAAGAGAATAGAGGAAAATAGTTTAGGAGTTTAATTATATGGACTTGGAAACTAGTTTTAATAGATTGAGAAGTTTCTTTAATTGGAAGTCTTTATCTTAACACAAGAACATGAAGAGCTTTCGTGTATTGATAGTATATTATATTATACTAGTGTTAAATATTTTAGAGATTATTCAAATAATATTTTAAAACAGTTCAGTCCGGGTACCCGTTTTTTCAAATTTCAAGACCCGTTTGGTTTCTAAGTTTTTCAAGACACGCCCCGCCCCGAACCGTTTGAATTTTCTAACATTATGACCCGACCCTAACCTATATTATCTGGCCCGGACCGCGATTTCAGTACCCGTTTGCCCACCCCTAGATTATGGTCCCCATTTAGCAAAACCGAATGCTAATCAAGCCAGTTGAACCTGCATTCGAGCAAGTCGTGCGTGAGGTCGCATAAACCGAGTAGGCGAGTAGTAGTTATTACAGAAAATCGGAATTCAAGGTCAAGTTTTCATACAAGTCGAAAAATATATAGCTTAACTTGATTTGAGTTCGAGTTAGAGTTATATTCAAACATTATCTATACTAAAATTACATACGGAGTATATTTTAAACAAAAAGCTTGATTTGTTATATGAAAACATCCATGTGCATTCGCTGATAATTCTTAAACATAAAAATACTACTTTAATTAGAATTCTCCGTCCAATTGTCTCTTAGACATTAGAGCTGAGCTCTTTTTGTTGTCTACAACAATTAATAATAACATCAAAACTTTAGTTCCAAAGATTTTGGGATTTGCTAACATGAATCGATACATGATATCATAGTAAAAAGAAAAGAAAGGTAAAACGATAAGATATTAAAGATAAATATAAGATAAAAATGGATTATGATCGAAGTGTGCAAAATATTTTTAGAACATTGCCTAAAACATTAAGTAACATGTGAAACTCAAATAAAGTTTTTGTAGAATTTTTAGTAGAAGATAAGTATATACACTTTGTGTATGAATCCAAAGTTTGTTTCCCTAAAAAAAAAAAATCCAAAATTTGTTTATAAGAAAACGAAGCTTTTTTAGCAAAGTTCGTTTCGATAGGGCTCATTGGCTCAACCAGCACTCCACTTATTGAAATTGTAGATGCTTTGGCCTTTGGGTGGAACTTTTTCTCTTTGATACTCTATAATTTAGGGGTGGACTCGGGCCGGTTCGGGCCTAGGTTCATGAAAGGGGAGGTCCGGAACCGGCCCGGGTAACCCCCGGGTCCGGGTCGGGCCGGGCCGGGCCTCGGTTCAATTTATACTTTTTTTTTTTGGTTTTTCCTAATTAACCCCCAACCCTCCCCCTCACCCCCAAACCACCTCAAATGGCCCAAAATACCCAGCCCAACCCAAAAACTTTAAAAAAAAAAAATAAAAAAAAAGGAAAAAAAATTGGCCCGGACCGGGCCCGAACCGGCCGGGCCGGTTCACATTTTGAGGGGCCCGAACCCGGACCGGAACCCCAGCGGGTCGGGCCTACCCGGACCGGTCCCTGGCCGGGCCGGCGGTTTGGGCTGGTTCAAACAGTAACCGGTTCGGGCCGGTTCCAGGGCGGGCCGCCCGGCCCGAGTCCAGGCCTACTCTATATATAGTACTTTTAGATATATAAAGACGATAGTTCATGTCTAGTCGACCAGACCAGGCCATTTGGGGCTCTTCTCAATGGAATTTTTTGATGAAATGTTTTGAGAATGTTCTTTATCATGTCTAGTTTATACTCACCAAATTTCAGCTAAAAATTCAACCGGGAAAGCAGTTAAATAATTTTTTGAAAAACACCACGTTGTTTATATATATTTAACTACACAATGTTCTTAAATAAGTTATTTAGCTGTCTTCACGTTTGAATTTTTAACTGAAATTTGGTGAGAATAAATTAGACTTGATGAAGAACATGTTCAAAAATAATTATTACTACCTCCGTCCCAGGGAGAAGTTCCCAATTTCCTTTTTTGGCAGTCCCAACAAAAAGTTCCCATTTCCTTAAATAGAAAGTTATCCTACATAAAAACAGTGCCAAACAGTGCAAAACAGTGCCAAACAGTGTCGAAACAGTGCCAAACAGTGTCGAAACAGTGCCAAACAGTAAAATTTACCCCTCAGTAACTTTATTTCCTTAATATGTGTGAAAGTCAACCCGGGAACTTCTCCCTGGGACGGAGGGAGTAAAAAATTGCACCGGGAAGGGGCTCAATCGTCCTCATCCTGACGGAGGTTCCCCGTCAAGACCAGGGCCGTCTTTGGGAATTTTGGTGCCCCAGACAAAAAACCAATTTAGATAATATTTTAAATCAATAATAAAATAAAATATGAAGAAATTAAAAATTAAAAGAGCGTGATTATATTACTATTGAATGTACGATCATAACAAACCATAAAAGGTACTCCGTAATAATTAACGTACAAATGATATAAAGTATATTTGAAAATGTATATTCTTATATAAAATATGAAATAGATAAAATTATAGTCGTATGAGATTGTACGACTTCATTTTTGCTTAAATTTTCTCTTAAAAGCCACATAATCTTGCTTATGTTTCCCATCATGGCAAATTAAAACTGCAACATAATAATGTAGCACTAATTATTACGGAGTATATTATTATTATTATTATTATTATTATTATTATTATTATACATTAAGAGATAATATAACTTATAAAGATCAAATTTGAGAATAACTCTAACAACAATAACTTTAAGTGTGAATTCATAACACAAGTTTTCAAAGAAAAATAAAAAACGGTAATGATGCATATATATGACAATCAATAGCAACGATAAAATTATAAAAATTAAATAACTCACCTTAACAATTGTCTTAACTCGAATCTTGTGAAGACTAATTTTGATTTCACTTGGAAGAAAGAGATGAAATTATCCCTACTTATTAGAGTTATTAATGAATTACCGAATTGGAGTCTTGGTAATTGCTGAAGAACTGAATTTTCGAAGTATATATAGAAACTCAATAGGTTTTGGTATTATTGTTTTTATGTTAAATTATTATGCAATGACTTCCTGAATTGGCCTTGGATTCTATTCATTACTTAATTTGCTTTTAATTAAAGAGTTGCAAAACCAAATATGAAATGTGAAAATGTCTAACATGTTAGCAATCACATACTATAGGGAGTAGTAAATAGGCAATGACTGTGGGGTGATGATGGATAAGTGGGCCCCTTTTATAATGTACTTGTATTTTTTGTCTTTTCCAAACTTTCTAATACGGAGTACTACGTTTTCATTTTAACAAGTAACAAGTAATACTAGCATTTTTAATTATAAAAAATGGTGTCCTCTCTCATTGTGGTGCCCTAGGCACTTGCCTATCTTCCTAGGGCCCATAGCCGGTTCTGGTCAAGACAGTTGGACCGGAACGTTATTCTATAAAGACATACATAAAGTAGTATTACGAGAAAACATAGTTTTCATATGAATCTATTAATATCTAAAAGCAAAATGTTCTTTGGGGTGAAATTCCCGCTCAAAACTGTCAACATCAAGTAAAACAATTTTCTAAATTACAAAAAAAAAACAATAGTTCAAGATAAAGATATATTCTTAATGATTTATGCGTGAAGGGTAGACAAGTGCCAAGTGGACAAGTGGGGGATACAGTGATATAGATATGTATCAATGTATGGATTAACACATTCACATGCTTAAAGGTAATATGTACAGTATTGATGATTACACACATCTTGAGGGGGGGATTTGGCAGGTCCCACGGGCCTTAAAATGAATATAAAAATTCAAATAGATTGATACGGAGTAAATATTTAAGAGCCCATGCCATGCTCACAAAGTGCAGTATCTTGATAAATCTTATGCGTGTACTTCACTCATTCAGTATCTTGATAAATTTTATGCATGTACTTCACCCATGCATGTTTTTAGGTAACCAAATTTTTTGAATGAAAATTTTGGGTATAAAAGCACAGTTCTATCGACTGGGATGCATCACACTTGCTCGCTGCAG